ATGCCAGGTTTACCACGGTTAGAGTAGAGGGATGCATTAGAAGATGTTCCTAGCAGAGTTGTGTCATCTCTAAAGGCTCAACGGATGTTTGATAAGGGATGTGATGCTTATCTAGCCTTTGTGAGAGATATCAGTGCTGATACTCCTACCGCTGAGTCAATTCCAATAGAGAGAGACTTCCAGATATATTTCCGGCGGATCTTCCGGGCATGCCGCCCGATATGTATATCGATTTTGGTATTGACTTGTTGCCGGACACATTCTTTTGTGCAGATCCAGGTATGTCTGCTCGTGCCTGACGTTAGTGATCGATTGTTAGCTACCTTACTGAAACTTCAAGGTATACATGCTCGGTGTTTGCAGGCCTCAGAGTCACCTTCCTTTATCTTTACTTCCTGTTTTATTTTCATTCAGATAGTGATGTAGTAGACATTTCAATTTACTTTGTAGAGCTTATGACTCAGTTCCACCAGTTTTGGGAAAATGTTTTGTTGAGATTCTGTTTTGGAAGACTATATGAGTTTTGTTAGTTCTATTTTAGTAATCAAATTGTTTCTTCTTGTTGAGTTATTAAATGATAGTCTTACCTAGCCGTAGAGACTAGGTGCCATCACAACATCCTACAGAGGGAAATTGGGCCCGTGACAGTGCCTTAGCAATAAAAACTAGATCAATATCAACTAAGTTCTCATTACTCTGAGTATCTATTTTCTCATCTTTGTCAATATCTTCAATAGTTTGGTCTTTAAAGAATATTCAATCACGACTTTTCGTTAAGTTTATTATCAACTGGAACATAAAAATGATATCCAAACTCATCTTGACCATAACCAATAAAAATGCACTGCTTAGTTTTGACATCAAACTTCGTTCTCTCATCTTTAACAACATGCAAACAAGATTGACACCCAAAACTCTTAGGTAAACATAAGAAACATATTTGGCAAACTAAACTCTGTTTGGAACATCACCATCTAAAGCAATAGTAGGAGATAAATTGATAACATAATCAACAGTGTTAAGAGCCACCCAAAATGTATTAGGAAGTTTAGCCTCCGAAAGTAAGTATCTAACTCTATAGACTAGAGTTCTATTCATCCTCTTTGCCAAACTATTCAATTGAGGCATCTTTGGCGGAGTTTTCTGGTGACGAATTCCTTGCTCTCTGCAATAGTTATTAAAGAGACCATAATATTCACCACTATTGTCAGTGCGAATATATTTTAATTTCTTCCTCATCTATCTCTCAGCTAAGGCCTGAAATTCCTTAAACACGTTAAGTGTTTAATCTTTGGATCTCAAAGGATATACCCAGAGCTTGCGAGAATGATGATCAATGAAGGTCACAAAGTAATATGAACCACCTTTTGACTTTACTTGAAAGGATCGCACAAATTAGAGTGTACTAGCTCCAATAATACGGACTTTCTTGAAGGAAGATGACTATGAAAGGAAACTCTTTTTTGTTTGCTAGTTAAATAATGGACACACCTTTTCGACTTTGTTTGTTTCACTCCATGAAGAAAATTTTTCTTAGCCAAACACGTAATTCCCCTCTCGCTCATATGACTCGGTCTTTTGTGCCACAATTCTGATAAAGTGTTACTTTTTCACCAGATTTATAGATTCATTAAGCATAGAGCCCTGCGTCACATATAAATGAGAAGATTTGACTCCTCGAGCCACTATTAATGAGCCCTCGGTGAACTTCCATTGGCCATTAAAGAGGGTATTATGATAACCTTCATCGTCTAACCTTCCTACGGAGATCAAATTGAAAAGAAAGTCTGGAGCATGCTTGACAATCTGAAAAACTAATGTTGAACCATTAGTAGTTTTCAAACTAATTGTGCCAACACCAAAGACCATAACCTCACTGGCATTGCCCATCTCTAAACTCCGAGTCGACAGAAGTATAAGATGAGAAAAAGTATTTTCTTGGTGTGACATGTGAGGTAACTCCAGAATCTACTGTCTAGCTCATCTCATGAGATACCAAATTGATGACGTTTTCATCATAAGCAAAAAAGAAGATCACGTCGAACAATAGCAGCAACATTGTGACTTGCAAGAGGTAAAATTGTAGGCAATCTTATATGCTCGCCCAACATTTTCGTGACTTGCATCAACTAGGATAATGCTAATTGCCTATCAGATGATGTGAAAAATGGTGGATATGGGGCTACTGGTTTTCACCTAAAATGTATGCACAGAACGCAATTGCTGTCAATGAATTTCTCGAGAAGAGTTGGGTAGGGCACATGTAAGTAAGAGATTATGGACTTGTATGTAAAAGAAGATGCCAAAGGTTTGCAGTTCACCTTTTCTTTGTTTTGCAGGTTCCTCCAAACTCCGTGGATAGCTTAGGCGAAACATTCTTAAAATCGCGTGGACTCTTTCCATATGCAAGCTGGTGTTAAAATGGAGTAGGAGCTCTTCTTGGATATGTTTTGCTCTTCAATTTCCTTTTCTCTGTGGCCTCATGTTATGCAAGGACAACATGTTGATTGAGTGTTAGTGCTGTTTGTGCAGCATTTGGGAAACCTCAACCATATCTGAAGAAACTGTGAACAAGAGGATAGCCAGCACAAGGGGTGAGGTTATTGAATTATCATTAAGAGAAGGGAGGTCTGTTGGTGGGCTTAACTCCCAATATGCTTTATTTTGCAAAAATGAAGAAAGAGCTGGCAGCATCAACGAGGCCGATGCAAGCAGGAATGAATCCCTGCAATATTTCCGCTTGGCTTCGATTGCCTCCGGAAGACTGCAACTAGAAAGATAAACTAGTAATGCTTATATAAACTGGCTTCTAATAAACTAGATACCGATGCTGCAGATGTATGTTGAAGAGTCATGGAACTTGTAGAGCTAACCCATTAAGAGAATCAGTAGTCGGGTTTCCTGGAGCGAATGGTCTACCAACCGAACAGAGAAAGAGACTTACTATTGCAGTTTAGCTTGTTGCCAAATAATCATGGATGAACCAACCCCAGGATTAGATGCAATAGTGATGAGGACAGTAAGAAGCACAGTAGATGCTGGTCGAACAGTTGTATGCACCATTCATCGGCCAAGCATTTTTGATGAGGTCAGAACATTTACTTTAAATAGATTTTAGAAATTATAAGTAATCTTCTTCCAAGAAAAGAAGGCTAATCATCCTAAAACAAACTGCAGCTGCTTCTCCTGAAAAGAGGAGGTGAAGAAATATATGTCGATCCATTAGGACGCCATTCTTCTCAGCTTACCTAGAAAATAAATCTAGGTAGAATAATTGGCATCATAATGCCGGCTAGGTACTAAAACTAAGGGCTCTTTTCTTATTTGCCTCAGGGAATAAAAGGAGTCCCTAAAATCAAAGATGGTTATAATCCTGCAATATGGATATTGGAGATCACTACAGCAGCACAAGAAGCGTTTCTTGGAATTGACTTTGCAGAATTGCACAAGAACTCAGAGTTGCATAAGTACGAAATCTCTTGAAACAAAAATCAAACTCTAGTTGAAACTGTGGAACTACAAATATTTAATCGTGATTCTAAAGTAGATTGATTTACAATATAATTCAGGAGAAACAAAGCATTAATCAAGGAACTAAGTGTGCCAGCCCCAGGTTCAAATGATCTATACGAAATACTCCGTCTTTCTACACACAATGCATAGTGAAACAGCACTGGTCATACTGGAGAAATCCTCTATATACAGCTATCAGGCTTCTGTTTTATGATCTTCGTAGCTCAATCTAATGCATGACACAATATTCTGGAATCTCAGCTCCAAGAGGTAAAAAAGAAAAACAAGATACACTACAAGAACTGTTCCTGATTTTCAAGATTTCTGTTTCTCTTAGTTTCAAGCCTAATGTTTGGCTGCACCATATTTTAGATGGCAACAAGATTTTATCAATGCAAAAGGTTCTATATGTGCTGCTGTATTGTTTCTTGGCGTGCAAAATTCTTCAGCAGTGCAGCCTATTATCTCCATAGAGAGGACAGTTTTCCATAGGGAAAGGGCAGCGGGGATGTATTCTCTCTACCTTATGCTTTTCGACAGGTACAGATTGGTGTTCCTCACCCCAACTTGTTTGGGACTACGGCGTAGTATTAAAAAATAGTAATAGTTTCATAAAAATAAGGTAATCTATTAACCAGCCGCATGGAATATTTTTGGTTATACAGTTTATGATTGAGCTCCCTTACCTATTCCTCCAGACAGTCGTATAGTCTATGCCATGATAGGATATGAGTGGACAGTTGCCAAGTTCTTTTGGTATCTCTTCTTCATGTACTTCACCTTGCTATATTTTACGTTTTTAGGGATGATGACAGTAGCTGCTACTCCTAATCACGGCCTTGCCACCCACCATCGTTTCATCTGCATTTTATGTACATTGGTATCTTTTCTCATTCCAAAAACAGTAAGTTACATTGTAGTATTCTTTTGTACAACAAATGATTGTAGTAATTTGAATCTATTACTAATATTTGTTCTAAAAGTTTTCATCGAGTCATCTCATTCCACACTCTTGTTTTAACACCGAAAAAGAAAAAAGAAACTAACAACTATGTTCTCCTTTTTTATCTGGAGCATAACAGAGTATTCCAGTTTGGTGGAGATGGTAGTACTATTACATTTGTCCTAGATCTGGGACATTATTTGGACAAATGGTCTCATAGTTTGGAGACCTAAAGGACAAGCTTGATACCAACGAAACAGCGGAACAATTTATAGAGTTACTTTGACTTCAAACATGATTTTGTGGGATATGTAGCCCTCATTCATGTTTGGATTTTCTGTTGTTTTGGCTTCGTATTTGCATGCTCAATCAAGGCATTTAACTTCTAGAAAAGATAGATTAGTCCATTTATTGAGATAGGAAAAGGGCTTTCCGGTCGATAGAAGGTATAAATTTCTACTTAACATCCTTTCTCCTGTTTTGTTTTCCTCAATTTTACAATGGAAAAGCTGTGGATTCCCATCAACAACATCATACTATTAGTTTCACAATCAGAACTACAATGTAACATTCATAGTGCGATAATCATCCAGGAACTATTTAGTGAATTTTAAAGGCTCATGACCGACACAAGCATAATAAGTCAAAAACAATGCGGATTGAGTTCACTAAAAATATATATACATGGAATTATCCTAAACCACACAAATAAAAAAAAACATCTCATAAAGTACCAACCAACTGGATGATAGACGTTAGACCTCCACAGTTCACTCTCTCAGCATCCGACTGAAGACATATGAGTCCATTGGAGCATCTTCTGCAATCTGAAGTGATGAGACAGCTTGTGCTGCAAGAAGTCCAGCAGAAAGTCTGGCAACCTCCCAATTCCCCACATCAAACCATTGATGGTGAACATTCCCTGCCAAAGGTACAGAAGAGACCATCCACGTGCTATTTTCCTGCTCACACATGCATCCATACCCGTTGGTACCAGACACCCACTGTGTTCCTTCAACTGAATATTTTGAGAGTTCTTGATGAGGAAGCATGGCTCTATATCCGCCCATAAAAAAATCAAAATTGCTACCAATATCCCATGAGTTTGATTCTTCATCCTTCTCCAGCAAAAGCTTACATGAATCATCCGAGTCCTCACCTACTAGGACATGCAGAGCAACTGCCTCGGCGATTGCGGCACCCTCCTCATCAAGCTTTTGCTGTTCTTCTTTCTTTTTCTGTTTCTTCTTTTCCAATTCAGAGCGGATGGCAGCTGAAGTAGCCAAGGCTTTCTCTAAGCGCCTCTTTTTTTTCTCAGCCTGTTTAATCCGGTCCAACTCATCCTTTACTTGCTTCTTGTTCCCTTTTCTAACAGCAGGTGAAGCTTTATCACATTCCATCTCTACAACTATTTATTTCCGTTTCCTTCTATACTTTGTTATTAATACTATAGCAAAGAACTAATGATTCCAAATATGAAAACTGTAATGAAACCAAATTACTGAAACTGCAGCTACACCCACTCAGGTATATGGGAATACCTCATTTTGCGCACAATACAATCCCAAACAGAAACAACAGGGGACTGAAGAAGAGAAGACTGGTAAGCACTACCAGGCCTGTTCCTCACCATTCTTCCCAGTTTCCCACAACCCTTGCGTTTACCCATCTCCCAGCAACTACCAAACTAATATCGTGACTGAAATTTAATATATTATCTGTTCCACTCTGCTTCAAACGATTCACATGGCCTTCCCTCCTACAACAGGCAAAATAAAATATGTACATAAAGTACATTAGAATGAAAGACATTTCCAAAATGGAATTAATAAAGTTCATACTACATTATGTGTATCACAAAGAAAAATCTAGACAGATCAAATATACATCATGACTCATGAACCTCCATAAGAAAGATGCATTACAACAGTTATCTTCCTTGTTAGGAGAAACCTAACTGGATATCACTAACACTTCCACCACCACAACAACAATGGAGAGAAAGATACAAGATGGACAGCTTGATAGCTACATTAGCAAATGACTATTTCTTGAATGGAAAGAATGCACCTGGTAAACCCAAGCCATCCATTTGTGTATATTTCGAAATTGACTGGCTGGGATTACGTTCCACCATAGATATATATTTCTTAACAAAGCATCAAAATCCGTGCACATCGATAAGAATCTGGGTAAATGACAGACAATTAACAAGTTTCAGGAAAAAAAAAAAGTAACACTCAACTGAGGAAGCAATTTGAAAAAATCCCAATTGTTCCCTTTTTCTTTACAAGTCAAAAAGCCCAAGTTTTTCTCATACAACAATAAGTTAGCCATCTGTAGCTGAACTAGCGTACTACTTTCCAGAAATGGTTTGCCGGGCGTGACAAAGTTACTCTGGAAAATCTTTAATTGTTTCAAAAAATAAAATTATAGCTAGCACACAATGAAATAACAACAATGAAACCTATTTGTTTCATTAAAAAAACAATTTAGCCATTCGTAGTTAGTTGAAATTAGCATACTATTTTCCCAAACAAGACCAACATGGGGGGATAAAGGGCTTTTGGTTTTTTTCTTTTTTTTTTG